AAAAGCCGGGGCCCCGCGCGGGCCCCCCGCCGCCCGCCAGGCTCCCAGGCCACGGAAAGGGCAAGAAACTCCGGCCCGCGCCGGCAAAGTGGGGCCACCGCGCTCCGACGCCAGGACAGCTCCCCTGGAGCAAGCCCGGAACACGGGGACGTGGCGCGAGTGGGCAGAGCAGCTTGGGGAGGCTCGGCAAGGCCGGTGCCCCGACGCCTGGGCTTGTCTCTGGCAGGATGACTTCCGCCTGCGGGCGCCCCGGGTGCTCTGCTGGCAGGGGGCACCCCAATCCCTCCGTCCCAGGCACCCTGTTCCTGGCTCGGGCCGCCAGGGGGCGCGCGCACTCTGGGAAGAGCTGGAGCCGCGGCCCGCGCGCCTCGCAGCCGCAGGAGCCCGCCCGCAAAGGGACCCGGTCTGACCCCGCCGGAGGGTGCGGGGCAGCTCCGGCGCCTCTCGCACCCGCCGCTCCCACACTCGGCCCGGCGAGGCTTCCCCACTATGGCCACGGGCCCGGGCAAAACGAAGTTCAATTAAAGCAGGCTCAGGGGGATTCTTGGATCTGTTCGATGTTTAAGGAAAAACAAATCGGCGGAGGGGAGATGCCCACCATTCTAAGACGGCCTTTTTACACAGGATGTTTCCTTAAAAAATCACAGTAGTTTGGGTGTGATACTAATATATGGAAAGACTGAGAACTTAAGATAACTAAGAGGAGGAGGAAGTACCAGCATTGGAGAATTAAGTAAAATATATATATATATGGAGAGAAGTCAGTCTGGGTCTTTCGTTGTTCTGTGAACAATTCATGGTCTTACCATACTCGTCCAATAAAGTTAACAAGATGCACTGCTAGTGAAAGCAGTAAAAGTTTCAACGAGTTTCACTTCTTTCTGATAATATCTAGTAAGACCCTTACACTAGTCAAGAAAACCAGTCTTAAATAGAAATCTGAAGATATAAATAGCAATATTCTTGCTGTTACAACTACTCAGGAAAAAAATGAAAGAAGGCTGAAGTGAAGGAAATCTCAGCTGCAGAATCTTAAGAGATTACATGGTTTTTAGGGGCACCGTTTTTACATGGTTTTAGAGACAGGCTGCTGTTTATCAGTTTAATGACCTTGGGGAGATCACAAGCTCTGAGCCACCACTTCTGCATCTGTACTATGGGGGCCAAGTGAGATAAGGTAGCATACACTGATGATTAGATCCTGATAATTACAGGAGCTGCTGCTTTTTTTTTTTTCTTTTGCTTTTTTTTTTTTTTTTATCAAGAACCATCTTTTCTGCAAAGTGCTCAAGGGTCCTTACAAAGAAACTTTGAACGTGGATAATCTCTCCAATCATGCTAGAATAACCCCTTTCCAGAATTGTTTCTAGTGCATTCAGGTTTGCTTACTTCAAAATAGCCTCAAGTCTGTTGTCTCTTATTTCCAGTCTCAGAGTCTGCATAAAATCTCAAGTGGCCAAGCACTCACATTCCAGATGTGAGGATGAGTTACTGACCTGGTAGCTTACTTGCCCTTCATCTACCAGAAGATACGTCCTCACTTATAGTTGAACTTTGGAGACAGGTTAATTGAAGATGTAGTTGGGAACCTCTTTATAATCAATCAGGACACTTTTAAAAATTCATTTATTTTTGAAACAATTTCCATCCCAGCATCTCAAAATCAATTCTGTACTCTTTATTTTGTTATTTTAGGTATTTAACTTAAAATTAAAATATTTTCTTAAATCACACTTAGACCATACAAACTTCCAACCCCCATAACCTTATATTTAGCCGTTTTTTCCTTTCTTCCCTACCCTTGTCCTTCAAGATGATGATTCTGATTTAGGAAATTGAGCAGGTTTTAGTGATAAATGTGGGGCGAGCTGAGTGATACTGGGCTAAAACAATCACTAAATTTACTTAGCTACAACTCAGAGATAATATATACTTATATCACTACTTCTTTGAAGGTTATGAAATTAGATCTAGGGGGAAAAAACTCTCAAATTCCAAACAAGGAAAGTAGAATCTGTCAGTTACAGAGATTATACCAACATTTACCTTGAAGAATCAGTTTAGAAAAGGTGGGTGGGGGCAATTGCATAGGTGACCTTCTGGTTCCAATGTTTCTAGTACCCAAACATTACATTTGTTTTAACAACAGCTTTTCCAAATTGGAATTTGTCATTAATCTCAATGACTATAGATAATATCAACTAACTTGCCAGAGCCCCCAAATTAAATGACCAGTTTGTTCTTTCTGCAGGATCCTGCTGATTCTGTGCTAGAGATCTAATCCATAAGCCAGAACACAACCAGTTTTGATCCATTAAGAAGAGTTCCCTGAGATCAAGTGATAAGTAAACTGTCCCTTCACACACTCAAATTTACTTAAAAATAATATTCAGGTCATGTATTGGGTTTTTATGTCCAATATTTTATTGATAAGAACCCAGGCGTTCATGCATTTTAATACTTGTGTT